TCCAAGGTCCGTATCTCTGTGCGTGACGTCCAGGAATTATTGCCTGAAAGTCACTAGTTATCTTGAACCAAGATAACGACTACAAAGCCCTTAGGGAAGAACTTTGGGGATAATTATCACAAATGGCTACTTTGTGTAATTAAATGAGTAGAAACTATTATTGTTTGATACTGGCTTTATTAATCAAATTGATTCTTATTTATATTAAATATTTCAATTTGAACCTAACAATATTTATCATAACTAATAATAATTAATTACAATATTTTTCATAACTTAATAACAATTAAAGGTGTGTTGACTTTGTATCTAAAACACTGGCGCTACGCGGTATCATAACGGAAATTAAGGTGAAAAACCCGTGAACATCGATTCGTGGTTTTTTAGTAACTTTGGGCAAGGTTTGCGATGGGTTTAATTACCTTGCCTTATTTCCTAATAAATTGTGGATTTTATAAGGATGTAGAAATTTCAGATTAAATTAAAATTTATGTTGAAATTTCTAATTTATGTTGATTCAACATTCTCCCCTGTCTCGACTGAGTCTAGGTTGCGTAGTGGCTGCAACTCGAGCATTTCAGTTTGTTTTGCTGACTCCGGCCTATTCCTCTGCCTGCGTCGGGTTGCGTTCGTTATTTGTTTTTGAATGACCCATACTAATAATAATATCGCAAAAATTATTGCTGCTGACACTCCAGTGGCGGCGTATGTGTGGGTTTGTATGTTTTTCCAAATTGCCGTTTGTAGCTGTTCCCGAATCTTTTCTTCATTTAGTCTCACTGTATTCAAGCTGTCGGAGATTTTGAAAATTGGCTCTTCTTCGAGTTGTTCTGGTTCGTTATTTTGCGGGACGTCTGTTATGTTGATGAGAATCGCCTTGGAATAACTCGCAATTACTGGAGCGGTGCTTACTCGTCTTGTCGTCAGAGTGTTTTGTTTCGTTTTGACTATGCAATCTTGTTCCACTTGCAGTATTCCACTTTGGTTCAGAGCAATGTCTTCTCTGATTCCCTTGCATATCACTGCTATTTTGGTAGGATTTTTTGTGATGAATAGCCATGTATTAGGCATGTAGAGTTGCTTCCAAACAATGGATGTTAGTCCATTCTTCCGGACTCCGCACCGAGTTGACTCCGATCTTTGATATATTTCGTCAATTATGCAATTCGGATTGGTCTCTATATTTTTCACTGCTGTCGGAGAGCACACATATTTGTTTTGTGATGTCGATATGCATGAGGTGAATTCTTGATCGCTTTGCTGGAAATATTGCTGATTATTGTAGTCCACTGCTACTATCTCACTGGGAATTTCAATTGTCCAATATGACCCATTTTCTACTTTTAGTGGCGTGGGCACAATCTTCAGAACTTCAAACTTGGAAATATCTTCGATCATGAAAAATGTAAATATTTTTAGTGATTGCTCGTCCTTTTCTACCTTCGTCAATGTGATCGGTGCTTGTACTATCTTCAGATTTGAGGGTAGTTTTTTGTTTGCTTCTGTGATGATTGTCTTTACGTGTTTTGGCGCTAATAACTCATACAGTGTTGCGTTGTTGTACAGGATTCTGAAGAGTTTCTCGTAGTACTCACATAGTTCGTCGAGGTAGTTGTTTGCTAGATTGTATGCACTCAACAGATGAATATTCAACGAGTTGGTATCGACGGCGCTATACCAGTTTTTCATTGCATTTACTGCCTCAATGCCTTGATTCAATTTTGTTCTGAACTGTTCCAATTGACGTTGGATGCGAACTTCTGTCTCGTTTATTTGTGAAATGGCACTGATCATTACTTTGCTCTGATGGTTGGCTGCCTTTATAAGTTCATCTTGATTCGACTGCAAGCTGCTGATGTCTCTGTATACCTCGTCGTTTACTCCAAAGACCGAGGTAAGTAGTTCTCCAAATAATCCTCTTTTCCTGCGGGTTCCTGCTATTTGCATACTCTCTTTCACAAGAAGAATCTCACAGAAGAATCAAACAATAATAGTTTCTACTCATTTAATTACACAAAGTAGCCATTTGTGATAATTATCCCCAAAGTTCTTCCCTAAGGGCTTTGTAGTCGTTATCTTGGTTCAAGATAACTAGTGACTTTCAGGCAATAATTCCTGGACGTCACGCACAGAGATACGGACCTTGGAGGCCTTACAACCCTCTAGTGAACTACACAAAGGGCCCAACTCTGTTCACGGGGACTTCCAGATCTTGGACATCGTGTATCATGGTGTGGGCTGGAATTACACCTCACGCCCATACTGCCCTGGTTTTTATCGAAAATGGCGCTTTAACTGCTAACCGTTATATTGAAGAATTTTTAGCGGTTCACGTTATTCCTTTTGCTCCATTTGTTGGTGAAAATTTGTGTTTAATGCACGACAATGCCAGGCCTCATGTCGCAAGAGTCAGTGATTATCTTAATGAAGCAGGGATTCAACGATTGGACTGGCCTCCACGTAGCCCTGATCTGAACCCGATTGAGCATGTGTGGGACATGTTAGGGAGGCTAATTCGCATTCGACAACCGGAAACCATCCCAGATCTTCGAAGAGCTCTTCTCGAAGAGTGGGAGGACATTCCGCAAAGGGCTATTGCCAATTGTATTGAGAGCTAACCACGTCGCATGGCAGCAGTTATTAGAGCACGTAGAGGTAATACCCAATATTAGTGTTTGTTTATTTATTAAAGTAATCTGTAATGTTTTTAATTTTGGTTATTGGTATAAATTGCATTGCTACTCTAAAAATTTGTGTTTCCTTTGAGATTGAAGATATTGATATGAATTAAAAAAAGACATGCTAAGAAATGATAAGGCTTAAGAATGTCCTGCAAATACGCATGATTGTGTCGTTGAATTATTCCACAGAGTGTTCAGAAGTTTGGAACTAAATGCAACTTATGGTTCCACCCTGTATAACACCAAATCCATTCGAACTTTTTGCAAACACAATATTAAATAATGATCAAGATAAACGCGCCTACCATTCGACAAAAAATTATCAATTTCGATACAAAATTGGAAAAATTATTTAGGATTGAAATTTAACAAAATTTTGTTTGTCCGGTTTTTTATGTCCAGGAGTGTACTTCGTGTATTTTTTTTTCTTCCAATATGATGGATATTAAGATAAGACCCCCTAAAATGGACCCTCTCAAACACACTTGACCAATCTGGTTTGCCAGGGACGGACTAGCTTTAACGCAATAATAAAACTGAGGAAATATTAGTAGAAAAGATTAATTTTCACTTTCGCGAAATAAGGGCTAATATTGAAGCATTGTCGAGAGTCGAACACTATTTTATTAAAATAGGTATGGAATGCATAAGATTAGAAGGATCTCATGTTAAGTCGACATAAAAAATTATTTAATAAAAAACCATTAATACACAAAAACAGATTTTTCTCGAAACAAGCTCATTTTTTTGACATCGAATAAGAATACCTTTTTTCTAGTTCAAGGTTGAAACAATCTAAAAATATTATTGCTATGCCTATATCATGCAGGGTGTACAAAAAATTAGCATTATTGTGTTGAAGCTAGCCCGTCCCTGGCAAACTAGATTGGCCAAGTGTGTTTGAAAGGGTCCATTTTAAGGGGTCTTATCTAGTATCCATCATATTAAAATTAAAAAAAATTACACGAAGTATTTTGAAAGTTATCAACAAAAAACCTATTTTCAGAGGCGTCCTTTAGGGGCACGTAACTTCGTAGGGGGGGCTGTAGGAATTTTTTTTTATAGGAAGTTGTCATGTTATTTTTTTGTGTTCTATCTGAATCCGAGAGATTGCCCACATATTCTGGGACACCCTGTATAATTAAATTTTTATTATTTCTTTATTTACGTTGTTTATGTATATTTATTTTATTTGTATACGTATGTTCTTTGTTAATTTCGAAAGATGAATATATATGAGCCAATTTTAAGCGATCAACCGTATTTATTTTTGTTTCCAGGCCAGCGTTTTTCCGCAATTTTTTTTTCTGTCGACCGCGGGAAAACGCTGGGTTAAATTTCTACTATTCAGAAATAACAAAACTATAATTTAAAAGTTCAAAAAGCCCGCCAAATGTTATTTAAGTTGGTCTTGTAGTGTAAGGTGGCGCTAGTATCGATCTGACGTCATCGCGTTGCCAGTATCGTACCACAGAATCGGTCAGAATCGGTAACTCTCACCTTGGTTTATTATATTTCTCTATGTCTACGCGTAGACAATTCGAATTGTTTACGTGAGCATTTGTCTACACATTGTCTACATGCGGCGTAAACAATAACTTATATTTAAAAATCCGAAAAAAAATATCAAAAGTTAATATACTATCACTATCACTTCGATATCACTTATAAAATATCAGGAAAACCAATAATAAAATAAAGTAGACAATGAAAGTCTACGTGTAGACGCACATGCCTGTGAATGTCTGATGGAATGATGGAAAAAAGAACGTGTCCGAGCAATAAAATAAATACTGCTCTGAGTGCATCAACCGTGCGTTCGGTATTTTGATCTGAGTTCTCCGAACTTGAATTTACCGTTCGTTTATTTAAAAAGTGTACTCCGTGTAGGCTCATTCGCGTTCGTTTATTAAAATTTCTGGTACTCTAATACAGCATTCTACTGCTCTGTGCGCTCGATGGTCACGTGATTCCAGCTCCACTCATCACGCTCTGCTCTCTGAGCAAAATACCGAACGTAAGGTAGTGCACCAAATAAAACTCGATAAATCCCTAAAAAAAGTGTCACCGGTGTCAGCCATTTGTCAAAAAAAAATACAAGAGGAGAATCGAAAACGTCAGTTTTTCATATTATGCAGAAAATTAATTTTTATAATTTAGAAAAAAGTATACAATAGTGGAGGGTGAGTGATTTTTTTTTTTAAATGATTAAATAGCTCGATTAAGGTATTTGGGCCACACAAACTACCGTTCAAGAACGGACTGTCGGTAAAAATTCGATGATTCAACCGTTTTCCTTGCCCCAGCTACTCCTTCATAATGAAAAAGTTATTTTCGAAAATTGAAAAAAACATTGATACCACGACCAAGGAAACGAACACTTTTATCGGAAAAGTGTTTACTGTGGGCCGACAAACGGTCGTTGTTGAAGAAGTTTTAGCAGAAGGTAAGAGAATTTGTATGGATAGCAAAAGGGGGTGGATAATTTTATTTGGAATTGATTTTTCTTGCTAAAGTACCTTCATAAATGTCTATTCTAGGTGGATTTGCTATAGTCTATCTAGTTAAGGGCAGCAATGGCACTCGATATGCCCTTAAACGTATGTATGTCAATAATGAACAAGACCTCAATGTTGCCAAACGTGAAATTCAAATAACCGTAAGACAATTTATAAATCAAGTAGCAACATATTTTAATACAATTTTTGAATTTTTCCTTCCCAGAGCAGCCTAAATGGACACAAAAACATCATAGGCTATGTGGACTCTAGTATAGTCGCCACAGGCAGCGGAGTCTATGAAGTTTTATTACTGATGCCTTTCTGTTCTGAGAATGTATTTGGCTTGATGAGGGCTCGAGGGAAACCCAATTTTACAGAGACAGAAGTCTTGACTATTTTCTGTGATATGTGTGAAGCTGTTTCCAGGCTACACCATTGCAAGACACCAATTATACATAGAGATTTAAAGGTAAATTATTGTGAATTTATTGTTTCATGGTCATGCTTTATTTGTGTTGAAAATAATGGGTTTTTTACTGTTACAGTAATTTCTTGGAATAGACCAAGTTATAGATTAAAACAATAAGAATTTCAATTTTATTACCTATAGAATGCATGTTAGTGCATTCCAAGGTGCATTCAAAATGAGATTAAGAATTATTTCTCCTTGGATTTCTCATAAAATGAAAAACATTTAGTTCACTTTATCTGTGGAACTGATATGAAAGAAAATATGAAGTACCTGTAGAAATATGTTATTTATTTTCATCAAAAACAAACATTTCCATTGTTGACCTAAGCTACATGTACTAAGTAATTTGATACAGGTTGATATTTAACATCTGCTCATATTTTTATCTACATGAAACAATATTTGCTTTATTACTTTTGTCATTTTAATCAAAATGAACTAAATTCAAGAAATATCCTCATAGTAAAATGGAAATGACTTTGTATATGTCTGAGATATAAAGTAGACCTGAACATAATATGAAGTTTCATGAGGAGTTGTTCAACTACTAGCTACTTGTGTTAATGCTTGGTCATCTGGTATTTGCAGGGCCTCCAAACATAATCATAGGACTCTAAATTTATCACAGATATTAATTTACAAAAGACTACAACATTTTATCAACAAACAATTAACATTACAAAAATTTTATTGAACTTCCTCCTCTGTATTATTGAATTCTTTTGTTTGATTGTCATTATCGTTATAATTCAAACCTTGTCCTTCAGGATGAGTAAAAGCAAAGGGCTTACAAGTTACTATAGGAAAGTGGATGTCAGAACTAGAAATTTGCCTCATTGGCTGTACCCAATTTGGGCAAATTACAAGGTTGCTGTTGAACTTTTGTATAAAGTTTTTAGTCCAGTAATCAGGTTGACCACAAGTTATTCTTGATATTTCATGATCATTTTCATTATCTTCTTGCAATTTATTGTGAAAACTTTTCTTCTCATTTTGTAGCGACATTAAAATGTCGTCCAAAGTATGTTTCATAGAGATAAGGATGACTTTGATCTCACTACATGATTGTTTATCTAAGGCTGGATACGTTTTATGTGTTTGGCTTGATGAATCTAAAACATAATTTTTGTATGCATCAGAATTTCACGTTTTTCTTACATTTCCCACAAAATTACTTTTCAAAGTTCGAGAGGCAAACTTTTCAGGATTGTCTGCAATCTTTTTAATCCATATTATTGATTTAGACTGCATAATTTTTAGTTGAGGTTTTCACAGGAATTTTGACTTGTCAATTACTTGTCAGGTGGATAAAAAAACAAGGACTATTTGCCTTTCAGATATTATTGGCGTAGCATTATCCATGGAAATTAAACAGGTTGACCCTCCTATTGAACTATCCAAGATGCTGTCAAACTTGAATTAAAATGGCCGCCAAGAGGCACACAAACCCTTTTTTTATGTGTCATTCAATGTGTCATGAATTTTTTTTCAAAAAAATAGTGCTCATTGTTCATTTGCGTTTTGATACTCGTTCTTTTTACTCGTTCTTTTTACTCGTATTTTTATTAATATTAGAAATAGAACAGATCTTTAGGGCACTCCTGCAGTGATATCCAACCTCTCTGAAGTACTGCACCCCTAGAAGCAGTACTTCATGACAGACACAATCGAAAGCTTTTTTCATGTCACAAAAAACTACCGCGGACACTTCTTCGTCATTTATCTTCTAATACAGCTCATCCAGGAGATGAAATATGGTATCATCAGTGTTTTTTGACTGCTGAAACAGAGACAGAGAAAGCAATTTATGTCTATCAAGGAAGCTCACCATCCACCTTAATTAGCCACTCTACAATTTTAGTCAAAGTTGCCAGTAAGGATATTGGCCGGTAATAAGATGATAAATTCTTATCACCCCCCTGTTAAACAAAGGTACTACCCAAGATTGCTTCAAAAATGAGGGAAAACTTCCGGTAAGAAAATAATTAATAATCGAATCCGCCAACACATCAACAGCCTAACTGAGATATCGTCCCATCCAGAAGATTTTCTATTTTTGATACACTGAGCAATCGTACAGTAGTATGAATTAATCGGGGAATTAATATTATCTGCTTTCAAATTGGAAGCACATATGTATATTTCTTATTTTTTCGTGTAGGTCGTTACTCTTTTTGTTTATTGGATGCGGATGCCCAACCTCTCATTGTAATAAATCTTCCTTGCCTGTTTCATCGTCTTTCTGTAGATGCTTCTGTATCCATTATTTAAAGTAGGTAGCACAACACTGGAAGGTGGAGTTGCAACAAATAAATATTTTCACATTTTAAGGGTAGGTCCTGGGTGTCCAAGTGAAATGTAGGTAGAGCAATCTTGCCCAAACAATAGGGATTCCGTTAATTGGGTAGAAACGGCCAAAAATTGAGACGCACACAATAGAAAATGAGTATTTGAATATGATCATTAATGACATAACCTAATGATGTTATGGTTTGTGATTGTGTCAAATGTTTGTGTGCCTCTTGTCGGCCATATTTGTGTCACGTGTTTTGGATAGTCTTATAATAATGAGGTTATATGTCAAATGCCAGACAGTTTTAAGTGTGTTTCACATAATTCCGTAAGTGTTTCAGTATTAAAATTCTCTGGCCTATCTGGCCAATAAAATTTGACACATTTGTCAATATATTTTTCAATAGTGCAATATATAAATGGTACCTTACTATTCTGCATACCATGACATTTTTCAAAATTCGGCATTGTCAAAATTATTTCATATTTAAGATGCCACAAATAATTTCTCAAGAGAAAATAAGGGAAATAGGAAATAATAAAATGTTACGGCTATTTCGAGAAAAGCAAACCAGAGGTTCTTCAGGGAATATATTTTTTTTAAATTAATTTGGAAAAATATTTTGGAATTGAATCAACTGATATTTTACACATTTTGGCAACTAGGCTTTCTGTTTTTTAACACTAACCGTGTTCGTTTTTGTCATCTTTTTTGTCGATTTCCGAAATTTTGACAGGCACGTGACTGGATCAGACATTTTCAATTTACAAATCGCGTGCCTGTCAAAATTTCCTAGCAAATTGACGAAAAAGATGACAAAAACGAACACTGCTATTGAAATTTAAAAATTAAAATCTGTTTTTTATTTAAAGATAAAAGTCAAACTGACATTATGTTGGCAACACAATGTAAAATTGTCAATGCTTTCAAATTTTTTATGTAGAAAAGGCTTGTGTTGCCAACATAGTTACTAAATTTTTGATTTGGGGAATTATCTTTAAAAAAAAAACAGACTTTACTTCGTCATCAAATGTCACTATTATAGGAGGGTCAAACTGTCAAATTTCCATTGATAACGCTACACCAATAATATTTGAAAAGCATATAGGTACTCAGGTGTATATAAATACTGTTGGACAAAAATACTCTGCAGTTTGAGCAAAAACTTGTGGGCCAACTAATGATCTTTTATTTTTGTGAGGACTTATAATGAAATCTGCAATTAAATATAAAATTCTTCATATTTTTGGGTAAGGGTAAGGTATCTGAGAAAGATTATTCATGATATTACTTCAGGATTCCATTAAATCCATAGAGTATGGTCAGTCTTCCTCTGCCCTAACTACACTTATTCAAAATAATTCCTAAAACAAACACTTTTGCACCAATGATTTTCCTTAAAAATTTTCAAAATTCGCCCTTTCCAGGTAGAAAATATTTTAGTAGGAGAGGATGGAAATTATATACTATGCGATTTTGGATCGGCTACAGCTAGAATATTAAATCCAACAGAAAAAGGTGTTGCCTTAGTAGAAGACGAAATTAAAAGGTATACAACATTGAGCTATAGAGCTCCAGAAATGGTGGATATGTATTGTGGCAAACCGATTTCTACTAAAGCTGATATATGGGTAAGAATTATGTTAGTAAGCCATTTATGAATCAGCTTTTTTGGGCTCCAGAAGTAAACAGCATTGTCCAACTGATCACCTAAATATTTTTAAGTCAGTAATAATCTAAGCTATTGATTGAAGTCTAAAAGAGCTGGAACTTGGCTTTATTAAGTAAGCAAATAAAAACTATTTTGATATTGATTCATTTATTATTTTAGGCATTAGGATGTCTCCTCTATAGGTTAAGTTACTTCAGTTTGCCTTTCGGAGAAAGTACCTTGGCTATTCAAAGTGGCAACTTTTGCATTCCAGATAATTCGCAATATTCAAAGGGTTTACATCAGTTAATACGTATGTAATTGTATAAAAAAAATTGTTACCAAAGAATCAGAAATTAGTCATAGCCATTGCAAATCTAATCATATATTTTTTTTGAGACAATTCTGACTAATCCCTGATTCACTACCAAGTAACACTTTTCCAAGTTAAAGATAATAATATAAAACAATGAATTCTAGGTTATATGTTGGAACCAGATTCAGATAAGAGACCTGATATATATCAAGTTAGTTGTATTGCATTCCAGCTTTTGGGCAAACAAAATCCTGTGAAAAATTTAATGGTAACTTATTTATTAAATTGTCATATTTAGAATACACTTGAAACATTTGTTTATTTAGAAATCTGTTGCTCCCACTTTGGATGCCATACCAATACCACTATTTGAATCTGAACAGAAAAAAGCCAACCAAATAAAAATCCAATCAGCTCCCAAATCAGTATCAGTGATGCCCGCTGTAGAAGGTACCAGCGTAATGCCGCGACAAAGACCAAAAGGCAGCAGCCAGACTCCCTTGAACCTGAACAGCATTCCCTTGAACATATGCTCCAGTCCTAGCGCCTCGAAAAAATCCCAAAATTCCCAAAGTCCTAACACCCAAGGTAATCCTCCCTCTGTTAATGCTTTTTCCAATCCTCCTCACTTTCCCGATTTCGGTCCTAGTGACTATTTTGTTGCCCAAAGTGAAGAATTACCTCATCAGCAGCAACAATTGGATTCGTTGTTTCAGTCTTCCATTTATCCTGATCCGTTTCGAGACGATCATGGTGGCGAATCACCAACCACAACATCTGACAATAATGGCAATAAGGGAGCAGAGGGGGGACAAACTGTAGCTACTGTCAATGTCGCGTCGCCACTTACCAGTGACAATCCGTTGTTTGGATCTGGAAACTTGGGAGGAGGGGTAAATAGGATAATTTTTACTTTTAATTTATAGCTACCTCTGTACAGGGTGTCCCAATTTGAGGGCCAACATGGGGATATCGGTAACCATTAGAGATATGAGGGTGGTTAAATTAGACAAAAGTTGCGCATTTTGATGCTTAACAATATGATGTTTTAAAATTTGAGCAATTCCTAATACTTTCGGAAAAATTCCAGAAATTGCGATTTTGGTTTTTATTTTCTCCAGGCTTTATTTCAAGAGATATGTATTTTAACTAAAATTTGCATGCGGATTAAAACTAGGAATCATATTCAAAAATTATAGTAATCATTTTGCCTGAGGATGAATATTTTCGGTCGAAACGTCGGAATTTAAAAATGTGTTCTTTATGACATATTTCATAATGTCAAAACTTATTATGTAAAAAAAAATCCAGGTCCGTATTACAAAAAATTACGTTGATGATGGCACTGGAAAACTGAAACGTCGAATTTCTAAAATAATATCACTACAGTAAAGTCCACTCAAAAGTGCTTCAAGAGAGTTATCTTGATTTTTCTCGATCTGTTAAAGTAAAGTCCAGAAAAAATAAAACCCAGAATTGCAATTTTTGGAATTTACCGGATATTTACGAAAGTATAAGGAATTGCTCAAATTTCAAATGGTCATATTGTTAAGCATCAAAATATGCAACTTTTGTCTAATTTAGCCACCCTCGTAGGTATCTCTAACGCTTACTGATAACCCCATGTTGGCCCTTGCATTTGGGACACCCTGTACAGGGTGATTAATTAAGAATGGCACTTGGCCATATCTCAGAAACTATTTATCGTAGTCTTGACGAAAAACAAGTATCCTATGAATGTGGCCAAGAGAAAATGCTGGAAATATATTTCAGCTTTCTAAAATGACCACAAGGGGACATAACCCAACTGTCAAAGTACGAAAATGGTTTTATTTTTGAAATTTCAAATGGAAACGTATCTTGAAAATGGTAGCAATGGATTTTTGATGAAATTTCACACAATTTTGGTTCATGACTTTTCACCATAACTTATCAGATAGGATAGTTATGAGCTGTCAAATATTGCAACTCAAGAAAGCAGATATAGGTTACTTCAAAACGACTCAACAAATTTGGTCGATCTTAGGTTCGTTGGTAGTAAATATGTTTGGAAATACAAAAGTCTGCTTTTTAATTTTGTTGTAAAAAATTCAGATTCTGGTTAGTAGGACTGACTTTATGGGTGGATATTTAAAATCAATTAAATCTTTCTAATTATTTTTGAAATTTTCAAATGGAACGATGTATTTAAAATATATTCGATCGATTTCTGGGGATGTTTTACACAGTTTTTCGTCTTTATTACCTTCCTATAAATGAATTCCATAAAGTGTTAAAATTAATTTTATTAAAAATAGTCAGTATTTATGACAAAGCCCTCGTAGATAATGACGTTGTTTTCCGGACAGTTGATTATCATCACGTGCGTTTTTATTCTCACCGATGTGCTCATCGATTAAGCGAAAATGTCAATTGGCTGTTTTTATTCTCATCAGTAAAACATCGATGGATTTCATCGGTCTGTTTTTATTCTCATCCTACACTTATCGGTGAAAGTACGATTAACCATCGAATTCATCGAGGTTCATTTAGGATGAACTGATGAATTATAACGTAAAATGTAACCTCAAAATTATATTGACGGTTGTTGATGGCCGACTGGCATCGTTTTGTTTTGCATTTATATTCATTATGTGAAGATTTGCGAAGACCTTAACAAAAAAAAAAAGGAAAAAGGGCATGTTCAAGTGATCTGAAGGGTGTGAAAACCGAGACCATACCAAACCTAAGAGTTCTGAGCATAAGAGCGCCAAATTACCTAACTTTGTGACAAGTGAGAAATATACTGAAATATCAAATCAAACTAATTTGTGAGGTCTTAAAGCTCAGCTAACTGTCTCAGAGATAATTTTATTTCTAATATCTCACCTCCACTACAGTCCTAGTAAGTCTAAAATGAGACTTAACATCTAAATCACTATGCAAAGGAACTACAGAAGAAATATAATTTTGTATTTTTTTATGTTTTCTACAATTCAAGTAAAACTATTTCATCTGAAGAGCTTCTAGACTCATCACTTGATGATGATGAAGAGCTCACAAGTATTCTCAACTAACACTAGACTTCCAATCATTGTATGGCTACGGTTTTTTAAACAAATAAAAAAATAAATAAGTTTGCCACATCAAACAAACAACACAAATCAATGCCAAAAGTATCAATTCAAGTGTCAAAATCCATCGAAGTGTTTTTTAGTTGATTCATTTCATCAACAAAATTGCGATGAATTTTGATGACGTACTGCTCATCGGCGCTCATCGGTGATGGAATTCATCAGGAAAACTCGATGAGAATAAAAACGCACGTATCATTGATGAATGTCGAAAATAAAAAAGGAGACTCTGTCATCATTTGAATAGTGCAATAGATAAGGGTATCAGTAGGCGAACTCTCTAACTCGATAGAAATACAAATAGAAAAATAATAGCAAAGAAAAGAAATTTCTTTCTATCGACAAATGCTACTCTCTATGACTTTTTCCTGGAATCGTCGAGTAAGTTCGTTTATAGAGAAATTCGTACTAACCAATCTGAAAACATTGTGAGAGATTTCAGATTTTTTCGATTTTCAATAATAAACCGGTGTTTTTGACAGTTAATTTTTGATTGTCAATGTTATTATTTCCATTTATTCATTTTGTCATTGCATATTGAGCTTTTTCGAAGGTGTATATCCACAGGGACGGGGCCATGGGGGGGTTGGGGGGGGGGGGGGGCGACGCCCCCCCCCCCAATTTCCTAAAATATATCGAAAGTTGGGAAAATTTGGATAAAAAATTTAAAGTTGGGAAAAATTGGTAGACAAAAATTTGCGCACCTTATTTGCGAGGACTAATTATTATTATTATTATTATCTTTTGAGAAATACTTAAGAATTAAGTTCACTGACTTATCAGAATCCATCGGTGTAATGTCTGGAGATCGCGGAGGCCCGTTAATGGTACCACTAGTGGAAATTATTATTCCTGGAATTAGGAGCATTTGAAAAAACAAAGTTGATGATGATCGCGAAGAATCGAAACGTCTGATCAAAAATCTAATATCATTATCATGTAGTGGAGAAAAAGTAGCAATGAGAATGTGAAGTTTATTGTGCGATATCATTTCAAATAAAGTCAGAAAAAAATAAAATCCATTTCGGCAAAATTCGTATTTTCATGGATATCTTGGGAATATGTAATTCGGAATTTACGAAATATCAAAACATGGCGCCACTGAGCTCAGTAATGCGCAACTCTTTCCGAATTTAACCAACCCTATATCTCTTATGGTTGCCGAGATCAGACTGCATCCTTATCCGGGACACCCTGTATACATGTCAAACTTTTTATCAGTTTTTGAAGTGAAACTTCCTAGGCGGCGGTCTGATATTTAGAGAAGAATATGGAGAGTGATTTGAAAAACGCATAACGTAACGTCACGTTTTGGCAAATTTCGTTACACGAGAGATGAGAGAGAAGGAATATATAGTAGACTGTAGAAAGACGGAGAAAGCGAGCCAATGGGTACATTCAGGCGGTCCCAGCGGCTAAGCTCAGCCACTCAGCAGGAACTTTATTGTCGAAACAGGGGAGCAGCGTTCTCATTGAAACGAAGTTTCTGTCTTTGTCGTCCGGCATAACACTGATAATGACAGAGCAATCGTTCTTATGAGAACGCTAATCCTTGGTTTCGAGAATAAAGTCCCTGATGAGTGGCTGAGCTTAGCCGCTGGGACCGCCTGAATGTACCCAATGACAACCACAGACGAGGAACGATTAACACAAACCAAGGTTTATAAGCAAAGAGGAATGCCTATTGTTGTCAAGCGCAGATACCCTTGTGACGTCACTATAGATGCGCGTCTCCCTTTTGTGTGGCCTTTCGTCTTTACCCCGACTCATACGCTAAGTCTAAAAGCTGTATGAGGGAAGGTATAGTTTTTAAAAAGTTTCACCTCCCAACACGTGCACAATGCTGCACATGATTTTTCTTAAGTGAAACTTCTTGTAAAGTGTTTTGAAAGACGCGTCACGTTAACGTAACGACACGTTTTGGCAAATTTCGGCATACGAGAGATGAGAGAGAAGAAAGATATGCGGCGACGTAGACAGACGGAGAAAGACAGCCAATGACAATGACAGCCGACAAACGATTCACACAAACCAAGGATTATAAACAAAGTGGATTGCCTATTATTGTCAAGCGCCGTTACCTTTGTGACGTCACTACAGATGCGCGTTTTTCTTTTGTGTAGCCTTTCGTCTTTATACCTCGACTCATGTGCTATGTCTAAAAGTTGTATGAGGAAGGGAATAGTTTTTAAAAAGTTTCACTTTTTAACACGTGTACGATGCTATATATGATTTTTTTTATGTTTCAAAAAAGTTGGGAAAATTAGGAATGTCACCCCCCCCAAACCAGAGGCCTTCGCTACGTCCCTGTATCCATTGAAACCATTACACCAGGCTCGATAAAGGTTCCCCTGACCCGAGCAGAAAAAGACTTGAAAAAAAGCCAAGTTATTCTCAATGTAAATGCGAATTATGGGGGTACCCAGTCATGATTCTTTAATATGGAGGAATTATTAATTATATCGTCTGTATAATGTACCGTTTGACACTTCTCCACTGTTCTAGATCCCATATAGTCCAATTCATAGTTAAATGATTCCTCAATTCCTCCCATTTATGCTTGTTTCACTGCTATTCCCGTCAACATCAGTCGCCAATAGGTCTGTTCGAACAGGAATCACAAACCAGTCAGAGCGAATTTCATTGGTTGAAAACAGTCAGAAAACTAGTTTCCAACCAATGAAATTTACTCTGACTGGTTTATGATTTCTGTGCGGATCAGGCCTTATATCAAAAATCAAAGGCGTTTTCTCGCGTCTCAAATGTTTCAAAACATTTTT